AGGGGAGAGAACAGGTAAACAGTCAATTAATTACAAAGTATGATAACTATTATGACTGACAGAAATATACAGTGGTGCAAATAGCTCAGGCGAAGTAAAACCCTCTTAGAGAAGGCTTCCTGAACAAAGCCACAATATCGGCTTAGGCCCAAAACATGAGTTGGGAATTAGCCAGATTTGGGGAAGGGGAGCAGCACAAGAAAGATATGTTCCATTGATAAAGATTAGAAGGTAAAAGCACAAATTGAGAACAAAGGGAAATGGGGGAAAGAGAGAGATGCAGAGCACTTGACACAAGATGAAGCTAAAAAGATGAAGTAGGAACCAGATCACAAAGGATGTGGTAAAATGTTTAAGGAATTTGGACTCTATGCTAAGGCAATAGAAAACTATTGGGTTTTAGGCAGAAAAAAATGACATTAAAATTTGTATATCAGCAAATAATATGGTTGCAGTGAAGAATAAATTAGAAAGACATGCCATGGGAAGCAGGAAGAGCAAGCAGCTACTGTTGCAAGTGTCTTGGATTAAAGATGATGATAGTACTGAGCAGGACTGTGGTAAATGATATGGAAAGAAAAAAGACTGGCCAGAAAAAGAAAGATTAGAATTGATAGGATTGGGTTTGGTGACTGGAATAGATGGGGAGGAAAGGAGGGAGGGAGAAGTAAAATATTATTTCTGAACCTGGCAGTTGAAGGAATGATGCCATCAACTTACTATTTCCCCTCTGTTAGAAATATTTACAAGATCCTAAAAATATTACAGTCTCTTTTCAGTTATGCACATTGATATAAACAAAGCAAAAATATTTCAGGTTTGATTCCAGCAAATATGATTTTTAGCTCTTGAACCATCTTCCACCAATTCTGCATAAAATAATATTAAAATGAGTCTGTATTTCACAAGCATACACCAACAGGAGAAAAAGGAAATTTAGTAAAGAAACATGCTGAGTGCATGGAGAAGGCCAGCTTGAAATTAAAGTTTACTATTCAGAGTGAATCCACAAATGAAAAAGGTGAGAACTGACAGTATTGCCAAAACACAAAGCAGTCTCAAAACTGTTTTCTTTAAACCTATTACTAAAATAAGCATAGGAATAGCTCTTTCATAAAACCATGATAGATTTTTTAAAAGTAGAATATAATTTTTGCAAGGCGAGTAAGAAAGAATCTACAGAAAAAAAGAGCACTACCCTTTGAAATCCAATGTTGAGAACACAAGGCAATAGCTTTCGAAACCCAATCATTCATGCAGAAGTTAGGTGCCCTAAACTTCTGTAAATAGATTAGCACTGACCAAGCAGATTAGGCTCTTTTTAAACACTTTCATTTTGTCTCTATAAAACTGTATCTAATACTCTGAAACCACACATAGTCAGCTCTAAGAAAGGAATTTTAAGAGCCACTCATTTCCTTAAACATTATATCTCACCTCATAAAGAAATCTCATATAAATTTATCTATCAATGTATTTATAATGTATGTATTTATGTATTTATATGGGAGGTAAATGAGAAGAGACACTTTTCTGTATTTGCAAAAATACCACTTGTATTCTCTCAAGGCAGTTTTATATATCACAAAATAAAGATTTCCTCATACTGAATGGATTTAATTAATCTATGAAATAAATTACCCATATTATAGGTACCTAGCAACCCCCTTCACCCAACTCCCATGGGCTTCTCCCACACACTCATTTCACCATCAGTTATCTAGGGAGTCTGTGAGTGATGGGTTATCCTTTTTCTTGTATAACAGATACGGTCTTGTATAACACAAAGTTTGAGCACATACTGTGCTCAAGGAATGTGTTCAATTATGAAAAACGGATGAAAACTCTTTTTCTGAACCATCATTTTTCCTTCAGTCTCTGTGGTAGGAGGACCCAATTCTCATGAAAACTTAACCTCATCAACGCTCATGAACTTGGCGAATGCTTCTCACTGCCATCAGAGGGACTATCCCCTACTAACATGCACATAGGTTCACTCAAATGAAACCTGTGACACCACGTTTCCCCACCATTCTAGCATATTGCAGGAAATGATTTTCCTCCTACGGCCATGTAGATATATGTCTTGTTGGTTTTCTGACAGTTTTCCTAGACTTTTCTGTCCACAGGCAACATTTTTAAATAATTTAAGTTTTGTGCTATAATTTGCACGCCTTAGTTAAGGGAAATGGTACTAATACAATAATTTGCCAAAGATTACAATGCTGACGGCTGAATATTTAGTGAGAAACAAAAGGGAAACTTCTACTGTAATGTCAGAAAAAAAGTCCTGAGGAAAGACTATATCCCTAAAGCCGTAAATATAAAATTCAAACGTAATGAGGTCACATAGATAATAGTACTCAAATCTCCCCGACTTAGACAGTTAGTACTAAGTTTTCCCGTGAAACGGAGGTTAGGGATCAGCCTTAGAATACTAAGAAAGATAAAAGGTTCTCCTAGAACTAAAAGAGGGAAGAGAAATCAGACAAGAGAAACATGGTGAAGGAAGGGGGAAACTAGCTGTCGTGAAAGGGGTCAACTCCACACAAAAAAAAGGCATTTTTGAACGGGATTTACGAAGAGTCGCCCGAGCCCAAACCCCTGCAGACGGAGAGGTGAACTCTGAAGTCTGAGGCAGAAGGCGCCCGAACCCAGTGACAACGGCAACCGCTCATTTTTAGGAGTCGGGGCGCCGAGAGGAGACGGTGCCTCGCCTGAGCCGCCTTCCCTCCGTTCATCAGGAGCGACACCCACCTGGAGACCGCCATGGCCGGGCGCCGGCGGTTCGAGGTTCCCCGCGAGCTAGGGGCCGCGACGCTGAGGCGCTAGTTTCCAGACAGCAAAGAGGCGCAGGCCCAGGCCGCGAAGCAGAGGGGAGCGGCCGGTGCGGCGTGGGACGTCCTGGTGCGGACCCTCGGGCATCTGCCCCACCGCCTCCCCGAGCTCGTCCTCGCCGCGGCCCGGGAACAGGGGTCTGAGACAGCGGCGGAGGCGGCAGCCGTTCGACCCGCACGACTTCAAACCCGGTGCCCCCAGCCCCGCTCTTTGCTGACGCAGGCGTCGGCACGCCGGACTGAGCGTCAGCGCGCCGGAAGTGACGTCAGCTCACCAAAAAGGGGCTCCGTTCGGGCGAGGAGTACGAGCTTGCTCAGGCCTGGCGCCGCGCCCCTGAAAAAGAAAGTCTCGTTGTGCTCATTTGGCGAGGGGCGTTAGTCATAAAAAACGAGGCGGGAAAAACCCCTTTATTTTCTAGAAAAGGAAAAAAGGCGATTTAGCCCAAGGTTCCAGAAGTTCAAAAACTTGATTCCTAATTCTTGACCTTCCCCACCCTCATCCCACCAGACTGCTTCTAGAGAAAAGAGATAAGAAGGACCTTAGCACGATCTAGTCCAGGTAGAGATGACAATGGGAGGGATGAAATTAAGAGAGATCTGCAGTGGCTCCTAAGACATGACTCAAAGTTTGCCATGCTTGCCAGAAGTTATGCATAACTATTAGAGGGTCTTCTGGCAACCACTCACCAAGTTTGATTTCTTGTCACTACCATCATTTTCTCAACCAGATGTGAAAACTCCCAGCCTTTTCTAGGGCGGGGGGGGGGGGGTGTAAAGGGGAACGACTTATCTGCCTATTCAGTTGCTTAATTCATTAGGCTTTTAAATTTTATTCTGTCACCTAGTGCAGGCCCTTATCACCTTAAACTTGATTTTTACGATAGTAATCAAAGTAATATTTCTCCACCTTCTTCAGCTGGGTACATCTTACAGGCCACCAACAGATTAATCTTCAAACACCACTGCTTTTATCAAGTAACTACCCTGCTTGTAAAACTTGTACATTGGCTTCCCATGACTTAAAGAGGCTATGTCTCAACCTGTGAGTCTGTTTTTCATCTGTAAAATAAGGCTAATGAGCAAGAAGTACCATAGAAGGTTATGGAAATAAAATGAGGCCATGTAGCTAGAAGAGCTTACAAGAGCTTTGTAAAATATAAAGTCGAATATAAATGTAAGGGGAAAGAAACTAACTTAAGTACCTGCTATATGGTAGGCATTTGACATGCATTATCTCATAGTCATAGGCTAGCACTGTAAAGTACATTTTAATCTATAGGTGAGGAAACTAAGCTCAGCAAACTTTAATTTGCCCAAGACCCAAGCTAGTAATACTATTTACTGTTGTTCACTCATTCATCAAATATTTATTTGGCACCTATTATATGTCAGACCCTCTGATAGGCACTGTTTATACTATTAGACAAAATCTGATTAAGCTGATGTTCAAATGTCTGCATGTTTCACAGCCTCCTACCTGCCTTCTCAATTTATATCCCACCACTGAAACTAACCAGCAAGTACTCTTTGTTGACTGGGTAGTACATTCATTTATTCAGCCAAAATTAAGCAACTACTATTAGCTAAACACTGTACTAGAGACTGGGGCTTCAAAACAAACCAAAAGAGCCTAGGTGCCCACTTGGGCTGAACTTACATTCTAATGGAAGGAAAAAGAGTAAATAGATAAATAAGAAAATATGTTTACATAACTATGTAAAACAGACTAATGATACTGAGACTCCAGATTGGGTGCTTAGGGAAAAGCCAAGGAGGTGCTTAGGCTGAGGCCTGAATGACAAAGGGGAGCCTTCCAGGTAGAGTTTACACCTAGAGCAGGGGTCGGCAAACTGTGGCTCGCAAGCCACATGCGGCTCTTTGGGTATGTACATGTGGCTCTGAAGGAAAATTGAAAATGAAAATAAAACTATCATAGTTTCATTTATAACATTTTTAAAGGAGATATTATTCACATAATGGTGATTTCATTTGTTTTATGGCTCTTGAATACTTTTTATAAATTGTTGCGAGGGACAGGATTGGCTCTTCTGTCTCAAAAGTTTGCCGACCCCTGGCCTAGAGTAAAAGCCTGAGAGAAGTCGGCTGGGTTGGGAGATGAGCTGTGAGAAATAGAAAGGGGCCATTGTAAAGAATTTGGATTTTACTCTAGATGCAATAGAAAGTCATAGGAGGGTTTTAAGCACGTCAGGAAAATGATCTGATACACATTTTAAATATCTTACTCTAATATCCAAGAGGTAATTAGATATATAGTTCTAAATGACACTTAGAAGACAGGAAAGATGTGTATGGGTATTTGGGTTACTTCCAGTTTGGGCTACTGCAAATAAAGCTGCTAGAACATTTGTGTATAATACTTTAAAAAAAAAAGAAGAAGAATAAGAAGACAGGAAAGGGCTGTGTTGGAAGGGATAGTGTAATAAATATATTGATTTATTAGGCTGAATTGTTTTTAAATCCTTTCTCACCACACTTAATAGCTGTGTGTCCAGGGGAGATGTATAAACTTCCTAAGTTCCTTTATCTGGGAAATGGGGGTAATAATAGTACCTCATAGGGCTATGGTGAGGATTAACTGAGATAATGAATATACAGCATTTTACAAAATGGCTGTCATGATAAACACTAAAAATATTAACTACATTAATTATTCTTTTTGTTAGCTATGCAACTTTAAGCAAATGACTTAACTTCTATGTTTCAATTTCCTCAGCTGTTAAATGGAGATAATAATAGCACTGGTCCACAACCGTTACCTGAAAATTCTGCCAGATGGTTTTCTGAATTTAGAATTCTTTCGATTTTGAAAAGTTATCCCATGCATGCACCTTATCTATGTCACTCCAACAGCTTCTAGGGCAGCACCCTATAATTAAATATATTTATAGTTCTGCAGCAAAATGTATGAATAGCCATATTAAGAGGAATAAATAAAAGACTGTAAGTAGCCACAAGCCAGTTCAGGTCAGGTCTTGCTGCAAAGTGCATTTTTTTAAAAATATTGATTTCAGGGGCCGGCCGAGTGGCGCGATGGTTAACAACTCGCTTGGGATGCCAGAGGGCCCCGGTTCGGATCCCACATATGAGGGCCAGTGACACTGCCATCCACAGCTAAGATGCTGAATGACAGCTCAACTGGAGCTGGGCTGCTGTGAGTCTCTGGCGACGGCGTAGGCTGCAGCCCCGGTGGCAGTGGGTTGCCATGGGCTACCGTGTGTGACCAGCAGCCAGCGTGAGCGGCCAGCAGCCCCAGTGAGCTGCCGTCCAGAAGCCGGCCACTGATGTGCCTCGCCTGGGAAGAGAGCAATGATGGTGCCAACTTGGGCCAGTGAAGCAACGTCCTTCACAACTAGACTGAAGAACAAAAATGACAGCAACTTGTCTGTTCCCCTTCCCCCAATTCCCCAATAAAAATCTTTAAAAAATAAATAAATAAAATAAAATATTGATTTCAGACCTTTTTCAATTTCAGAGTTATAAATAATGAATCATGAACCTGTACTGTTGTAAAGTTGTAAGGATTGAATGAGTTGATACATGACACCCTTAAAAAAATGCTAAGTAAAGATTAGCTATTATTTTTTTACCACCAGAAAGATGGCTTCAAAATTAGTGGCAAAAGACAGAACCATTGAGCAAAGAATGTTGGACAATTGGCTCTTCATGTGGAAGGAAAAATCATATTCCTACTTCATACCATCCCAAAATAAATCTCAAATGGATTAAAGATCTAAGAATGAAAAAAAAAACGAAAAAAAACAAAAAACTCTAGAACTATTAGGAGACTATTGAAGAATATTTTGGCCTAGGGGTAGGAAAGGATTTCTCAATGCACAAAATATTTACATTGAGGAGAAAATAGATAAACTTGAACCCACTAAACTGTAAAACTTGTATATTGCAAAAGGAAAACATCCAAAGGAAGGTAGAGGAAGATTGGCCTTCCATGAGTCTCTTAAAAGCAGAGAAGAACTTTCCCAGAAGCTGACAGAAAACTTCACAAAGTGTGCAGAATTGGGTCACACACCCATAACTAAACCAACTACAGGCAATGGGACTGGAATTATCCTTAGACCAACCAGGAGATGAGAATAGAGTCAGCTTCCCCTGAGATAAGCTCTACTGGGAAGGTTGGAAAGAAGATTGCTTCATCTCCAGACTTCATACATCCAGAAAAACTAAGGAAAAGGAAGGAGTAAGAGGTGGTGTTTGTCTCAAAAAAGCAAAAATCTTCCCACTAATTCTTAGCAGACTTACATCACATTGGCTAGAATAAAACTGCAGGGACTTCTGGGAAGATAGTAGCACGATACATCCACTAACTTTATCCTTCTCATATGATCAAAGGAACTTTGATATGAACATAAAAGTATAAATTATCCAGCTAAATTATTTAGACTTTTACATCAAAGTTATTAGACCTACATTTATGTTGTTCCCTCATGCTAAATACAAAATAAATTTTAGATGGATTAATAGAAATTTTAAAAGTAAAAACTTAATATAAAGAGTATATATGGGGGTGCCAAAAAAATGTATACAAGTGGACACTTCGGTCAACATTGCTCAAGCAGTAGTTCACTGTGATCAGAAGTGTCTGGGGCCAGCAGAGTTGCACATTGGTTAAGAGTTGGCTTGGCGAGCTGGCCAAGTGGCACTTTGGTTAAGAGCTGGCTTGGGGCACCAGAGGGCCCCGGTTCAGATCCCACATATGAGGGCCAGTGACACTGCCCTCTACAGCTAAGATGCTGAACAACAGCTCAACCTGGAGTTGGGCTG